GAAGAAGAAGAAGAAGAAGAAGAAGAAGAAGAAGAAGAAGAAGAAGAAGAAGAAGAAGAAGAAGAAGAAGAAGAAGAAGAAGAAGAAGAAAAAGAAGAAAAAGAAGAAGAAGATAAAGCGCTCTATCCCATAGGAGCAAATGCTCTAAGCGTTTTACACCGATAAGCCATTAACCTTCAATAATCACTGAGACCAGAAATTAAAAAAGTAAATGCGCATAATTTACTTTTTAAGATGGAGTCCTCAGGGGACAAGGAAGAGAAGAAGGCCGAGATACAAAATCCACCTGGGAACGAGATCTGGAGGCAGATCTCAGGTATATAGGACACAGCTGGCTAGAGGGGGAGAAGATCGCCCACAATAGAGACAGGGGAAAAGCCCATATCTTGGCTGCCTTATAGGGACCTTCGGATTCTTGGGGCCTATCCAATTCCAGGTTGAAAGAGAACCATCGTTAACTCAGAATAACAACAAACAATGTTCTATCTGATTTTTACGGTCATTTTGAGTTACTAAGACAATGTGGTCAGAAACCAAAATTCCATCTGCTCTATCAAAATCGTAAGATTATTCCGAGTCGTAATCAAGATATTCAAAGATTTGCATTCGAAAAAACTTGATATGTTGTGAAACTAAAAAAAATTTTACAGCACATTTCTCAAAACTAGGTACTGAACAGACATAACCTTGTCATTCTAGGGTAGGGAGATGATGGTGAAACGACACTTTTGGGACAAAAGAGGTCCTCAAGGATTCTGAGGCCGAAGGGTTTGAAGAGTTTTTCGTTGTTTTGGAATTTGATTATGGTTTCTCGGTTTGTTTTAAAAATGCTGTTGTGCGCTGGATTTTCCGGTGTTGAGCTCTGTTTAACTGCGTATTGTAGTGAGAGTTGTGTTTCGCGCGCTCATATGACCTTAGCAGTTGCGAGCGCCGTTAAACCCTATACTACTACTACTACTAAAAGGTCTAGTTGAAGCATTACTTCTAAAAAAATATAATACAATTGTTTTTCACGCGTGCATGATATTATGGTTGTTCTCGCATTGGCCACACAGATCTCTCTCTCTCTCTCTCTCTCTCTCTCTCTCTCTCTCTCTCTCTCTCTCTCTCTCTCTCTCTCTCTCTCTCTCTCTCTCTC